ACACACACACACAAAAAAAAAACATCCAGGGATTGCGGTGCATGGCACCCCTCTTATCCGGTTTACAGCTTTGGGTTGTTTAGGGCCGCCAAGCCTCAAAAGTGGACTTCTTCCTCTCGCGCAATTCACATGATCGTTGCAGCATCTTTTTTTGGGCTGCGGTTACTAAAGATCTTCAGCAGCATGAGACGTAAATCAGGAACCCCAACTTACAAGAAACAGTTCTCGTGGCTGCAGTGCGACGTGCATGCCAAACCTGCAGCCAAGTAAGTATCATATGGGCAGTGCATGCTTGCCGGGGGGTACCAAAATCTCGGCACCATTCTTTGGATCATTGCATGGAGGTACAGCTTTAAAAGTTGATGCCTCTGCCAGGATCACAGTATCGCCGGTGTTCGTGGAGGGAGCTACGATCCAGATGTTCTTGTCGATTCATGTGATTTGTGCCGTATTCTGGTGCACAAGAGCTGTGAACGGCAGGTTGCGTACACTACTTGTGGTTATGATCCCTGTTGGCTGCCTGCTTTTTCCCCTGGTACATTCAATGCGCAAAAGCTGCCTGCGCAAGCAAGAGTTCATTCGTCGGCTAGAGACGTTCGACGTCAAAACCGTGGAGTGCTTGCTGGAGTCGGACAGAGCAAGCATCCATGCAGCCCTCAGCAGCTGGTATGGCAGCGTGGACAATTTTTCAGAGTATGTACGAGGTCCATTCCGAAACGAGGCAGGGCATGGGCGATTTTTTGATTCGTACCCTGTAACCTTCCTAAACTGCTATAATGAGTTATGTAGGGTTTGGGGTTTAAGGTCATACAGGGGTTATATGTGGAGTAGGATCAGGGTGAGTACCTACGGGCTGCTTAGACCAAGCATAACGCTGTAGAAGCTCTATGCCAATCTCTAAGCCCTACAACCTATACTCCTGGACTTCAGCCAACAGCCTCCGCAAGAAGGTGATTCAACTTATGCGTGCTCCGGGCTGCATTCCGCGTCATTACATTTTGGTTGTTTCGACACCGATTATCACGATGTGCTTGGAAGGCCTGTCCATTCTGCCCTCAAGGGTCTAGGGTTTAGGGTTCCAAACCCTAAACCCTAAACTGTAATCGGAGGGATGTATTTTTAAAACTAACATATGCGGTGCTGCTGCTAAGTATCACTCCTCTTACTATTCTTGTTCTCCAAGTCTTATATGCTGCAGGTGCAGATGCAATGACAATACTTGCAACTGCTGTCACATTGCCTTTGCCAGTAGTAGTGCGATACGGCCACTGTGTTTTCTGCAGGAAGTACTCTACAACGCTACACGTTTTTTTTCCCAAGCTTTAAGTGAGGCACCCAAAATCGCCCCAAAATGTTTAATCCTGACTCTTGGCCCTCACTCTGTGAACATGCCGCATGTTCAAGTCACCGGACATGTCTACGTCTTCTTGTGCTTGGAAGGATCGCTTGCTTTGTGGAAGGTTGGTGCACCGATGGAAAGCCGCTCGCTTGAGCTTCAGCCGAGCCTTTACTGCTACGTCCGGTAGCTATAGGGGTTATATTCTACAGGGGTTATATAGGGATTATATAGGGATAGAATATGGAATTGACCAATATTTTGATACGATCCCGTTGTACCCCGTGTTCTGTCTACCCGAGGGGGACTATTTATCGTTTTGCCCCTAGTTAAAGCGAATAATTCCCCAACAATGGAGAATCAAATGGAAAGAACATGGAAAATGAAACGAAACCTGCTACACGTCGGGCTATACAAAGATCAAATGAGCTATAGTCTACACTCCTTCAAGTGGATTACAATGAAGGGGGATACATAGGAGTTTGCATCATGGCTCCTGTGAAAGCAGGAACTGTCTGCTGCTTTCCCTCCCCGAAAGGAAGTTGGCCGTACATGCTGTTTTTCCCCGCCCCCTGAGCCATCAAATTGAGGTTTGCTTGCCCATGCCCTGAGTGTCATTCTGGGCGCAGCCATTCTTGGTGTCCAGCGGGCCTCATTCTTCTGAGCTTCCTATGTGAACGCTGGACGGCCGCCATGCGTGTTCTGAACATTTTTGATGGATGAGGGCACTAGAGGTATAGTGCTCACTTAGGTACAGACTTTAGCTCTCTTTGAGATGTTGATGATGATCTGGTTGAGGTGATTCTGAGATCACTAGCAAAGCCGAATGACTTCAGCTAAGGACCCGCAGTCAGGAACATGCAAGAGTCTGTTCACGACGTTCGCGGTGTTTCTCATCTTCTTGGTCCTTTGGGTGCTGGGGACAACGCTTAGCATGGCCGCTCGTTCCACAACAATCACATACAACAGTGTACATGGGGGATTGTCAAAATTATGGTCCCTTTTGGGTCCCTTAAATTGGGCCCCGTATTAGGCCCCGTATTATAATAGGGAATCAAATAGGGACCATAATTTTGACAATCCCCCACATGATGGCTAACCAGCCAAGACTGGCTCCAACAAACTTGATTGAAAGCGAATCCCCAAGATACTGGCCGGTTACGTCTCTCATTAAACGTAAATCCTATAACAAGTAGACAAGAAATTCTACATGGTTTCAAAACGGAAGGTTGTGCTGGGGCCCGTTATGGTGCGTTTGGTGGGTAGGCTTGCGATTTTGGTTGCGCAGGCTTTTCAGTGTTTTGAGCTGACGGGTTTCCAAGCCATGGTTGCTGTAAGGACTCTTCATGATGAAAAGGGCTGCCGAGAGTATGTATGTGCGGTTAAATATCAAGTAATCGCCTTTCAAGCATTCTATCCCGCTTCCATTCAACACGTGAGCTAAAGTCTACACTCTTTAGAGCTGGGTTATGGAGGCGATTAAATGGGGAAGTATTATAGGGGTTATTAAGCTGGATACTCGGAGCTTAGATGATAGCTCGCATGCGTAGGGGGTGCGGTGTGCTTCGCCGGATGTGGTTGCAGTGCTTGTGTGGGGAAGCGCACCAATTATAATAACTAGTTTAGACTTTAGAACTTACAATCTAAACCCTAAGCCCTCAACCCTATTTCTGCAGTCCCTTTTTGCCAGTTACGGGAAGGGTGGGCATGAAACAATTCCAAAAGCCAAAAAGGGTAGGGTTGGGATGTTAGCGTTTACGTCGGGCTAAGGTTGAAAAGAGTGCAGCGCAATGGAGCCGTGTCATACAATAGTTTCACTTGGCATGTCACACCGTCACTCCTGTATTCAGGTGTTGTATGGCCAACATCAACCTCGGATCAAATCCCGAACCCCATTGCCAAATCCTACATGGGAGCTTTCTGTTTGGGAGCCTTATAAACAGGATTGCCATATTTTGGGGTCTCGATTGGGGGTCCCGTTTTTGAGACATTCCCACATCCTAACCCCCTGACCTCCTATATTCCCCCAGCTTCCATTTCATTTTCCATTTTCTTTTCCATTTGATTCTCCATAAGGGGGATAATATGGTCTTCGATCCATCATCCCATAGCCCTTGGGTGATAAACCCTGGTCCGAAAAACTGAAGCTAGCATTTCCCATAACGGGGTCCTCCCAATACGCCTCCAAATAGTGTAGTCTGTCCTAGAGGTACCCCCCAAAAAAGAATCCTTAGCTTTTTCAAAAGCCGCCCAGATTTGCTATTCTCTAAACTTCGGGATGGTACTCATCTGGGTTGCGACCGCTTCGCTGGGCAGCGCGCTTGCATGGCGCTTCTGCTGGAGTATGCCGCGGGCGTGATCCGCTGTTTAGTTTCCGGCTTTGGACCTACCTTAGTTTAGAAAGCGAAAAAGCTAAGGTCAAACCAAGGATGTTTTTGGGCGGCTAAGGTGGTTGGGTCGGGTTGCCCATTTGCATGTCGAAAGGTGCGGCAACAGGCCACCTTTCTCGGATTCTTCACCCTCGAAACGTGCATGCAGGACTGCCCCTGTGACCCTGCATCCAAATTCGTATGCCCTACCATGGGTTGAGGGTCAGGGGTCCTTCGCCAACCTACGACCGTGCGCGCTTAGAGGTTGGTTCAAGACATGTCCCCATTGTTAGCACACTCAAAGGCGTAGCTGAGGACAGCAATCTCCACCATAGTGGCAATAATGCCAACCTTCTCGTTGAACGAGTTTCCGCCCGTAGCCTCTTTTTTTGACTAGCATGCCCTCACTTTTGACCAACGCATGCGTGAGAAAAATCTCAGCACACAAATTCTGAGTCTCAAGCACTAAGCCCAGCAACAGCCTTGATTCTGGGGTATACCTTGTAAATTGCCAGGCCATGGGATGCTCGGGTTTTGTTGTGAGATGAGGGCTGCCAAAAAACAGGGATGCCTCCTGGGATTCCCATGAACTCAAAATTAGGGTTATAGACTTTGGGTGTATTTGAGGACCGCCCCGTTTGGGAACCTCCATATGAAAATCGGGGTGTTCAAGGAGGGTTTGTGCCATTTGCATAGGCTTTGGAGGTTGACGCGATAGGGCGATGGTCAGTTGCATGAAGGACCCCGTCTGTACATCCACGTGGGAGTCTTTCAAATTCATCCCCAGTACCATCCACAAGCAGGATTCCCATAATCTACTCATGATCCCCAAACATCCACCGTAATTTCTTGGGACAGTCCCCCTAGACTAGTAGTCAGGCACTAGTCAGTGCCGACTTGCATTGCATTTCCGTGGTGGTAGTTGTTGCTGGTGCGATTCACCTTGTAGAAGACATCGCCCGGCTCGTCATCCTTGTTATTCTTGTCGCAATCATCACCATCACTATCGTCATCAACAGCCTGCACCTTTAGAATTGTCGGTTGGTGCCTATTTGTTCGCCCAGAAGTGCAGACTGTAGCATCCTGGGTTCCCTTTCCCCGATCAACGTCACTGAATGTCCCTAGATCGTGAAGTCACATGAGCTGTTGTCATCCTCATGATTACCAAGTGGACATGGATGGCTTCCTTTCACTTATTTGGCATCATGCCTTCTATGCTCTCTTGGCTGGACAGGCCCTGTGTTCTGTAGCCGTATGAGGAGTACTGGTGTTTCTGATGTATGTTTTTTGCTCTCACGTACTCGGGGCCTCTTTTCTAGTATCATTTTACTCAAGAAGCTTGATGTGAGAACCCTGTTTCAGACATCCCATTCAATTAGCGCCAGTTGTTCTCAGATATCCCATTCAAAGGGCGCCAGAATTTGAAGCGACCCCCCAGATTGTCATCATGTATAGAACATGTACGAGCCAGAAGCGCCAAGCGTGGAAAAGCAGGGGAGTTGGTGTATGATTGGTATTGATATTCAACTTCTTTCTTCTCGAATTGGGACCAAGGGACTCCTAGTACGAGCAGAAGCTCATCAGTTTATACAAGTTGACCCGCATGATAAATCTGTGCTTCTTCGGGGAAATCCGCACCTGCTGCTGAAAGGTTGTTGTGGAAGTTGTTAAGCATCATAAATAGTAAGGCCAAACGTACCTAGAGTGTGTTTGTTTGATCATCTTGTTTCGATAGCCCTGTCCAGGACATGTTTGTAGTTTCCGGCCTATGACTTCGAGAATTCCTAATCACATAGTAGCTGAATGACCTACAGAAAACAGGGAACTAAATGCCGCGACGTGAACTCATTGTTTTGGACCGCTTTTGGTGAAAGATCAACGGGGTGTGATTTAAATGCTTTTTGGTTCCTTGCAGAAGCGCCCTAGCAGGTCAGCAGGCGTTGAATGACTGATCACCTTTTTATGGCTGTGGCCAGAAGATTAGGAGAGCCCGGAAACTCAGTGCTAGGCGGACAGAGAGGCAACCCCCATCAAATAGTTGTTGGTCTCTATACTTTCACCCTCTCTCTCGTAAACTCCGCCTTCGAGTAACCTACATCATAGAATTAGCTCAGTGTGATGTCGCGACTTGAAAAGTTCAATCGTTTGAACATGGATCCCTTCAAAGTCTCACCC